GACTGCATTGCACATGAAGTAAATAATTCTTATTAGAATCATCTTCAATGTCTCGACCAAGTGATGCATATGTAACTTGTGATTTTTGCAGCATTTGCAATCAAGCATGATGTTTTATTGTAAATCAACTTTATGTGACATACGCAACTGAATAGCACGGATGCAGGAAGTGAGTCTGATACTATGAGAACTTTATATCATATGTGATAAGCATAAGACAGAGATAAGCTGTATAACAGAGATAAGAGACAAGCTGTTTCTGTGGTATTAAAATAAGATAACAAAATGCCAGTTTGCAGCATAACAGACTAATTTTGTACAGGTGAAATGTTGTACTGTGGCTGATTGTATCCACAATGAAAGTGCTATATAAATTCCTCATTCATTATATATCTGATTCCTGTATATCTGAGATGCTGTATTATTTCTCTCAAATTGTCAGTTTATAATTGGCTATCGTGGAAGGTGCAAGACATCTAAGAGCATTTCCTCTTCCCTCTCAGATACTATAAGAATAGAAAACAGAAGTTGACCAGTTGTCAAAAAACTCTGTGTGTGAAAAACTCATACAGGAAACATAAGCAAGAGCAAACGCAATGGCCTCATATGCAAAAGCAAAAATATTCTACATATCAATCGGGTTTTGGCTTATTTCAGGTAAGAGTATTTAATATTGTGCTGTGTTTGTTTGTACTGGATCCTGTTGATCCTTTTGAAATGACACATTTTATGCTGTTCATGTTGTTTATAATGTGTTTTAAGTGAAGATGGAACAAATTAAGAAATTATTTGTTAATGTTGGATATAATAAAGGTGTGTGTGTTGTTTGTTAAGGTGTTAAAAGCTACGACGCTTGGTCAAACCATGTATTAACTGTTCAGACTGGAGGATCTGTCACCATCCCATGTCATTATGACAAGAAATACACACAGCAGAAGAAATACTGGTTCTCAGAGATTGATAAATCTAAAACATACACAAATAAAACAGAGGAGAATCTGTCAGTAATTGATCATCCTGATCAGAGTCTCTTTACTGTGACTATGAGAAACCTGCAGGACAAACACACTGGACATTATTATTGTGTTGTGGAGACCGGAGAACAACCACCGATAAATGTCATATATGAGATACAGCTCAAGATTCAATCTGGTAAAAACATTTTGCAATTGTTTTAATCAAATTCTAATGTCAAATTCTCTTACAAATATGTATTTTATAATCACAAATAAATGATGTGTGTGTGTGTGTGTGTGTGTGTGTTCAGGTCCTGATGTGTCTGTGGTGAGCAGCAGTGTATCTGGACATGAAGGTGGTGATATCAGTGTTAAGTGTCTCTACAGTTCTGGATATCAGAATGACGTCAAACGGTGGTGCAGATATAAAGATCAGAGCTGTTACACAGTGGGGAGGACTGACACATCCCAGAATTCATCAGTCCAGATCAGTGATGATGATGATGGGGGAAGATCCTTCACTGTGCTGATGACTGGACTGAGACTGACTGATTCTGGCTGGTACTGCTGCCTTGCTGGACAGGCAGTGAGTCCTGTTCATCTGACTGTAATAGAAGGAGGTAAAACTTATTTAATACTCTTTTCAAATACCGAATAATCAATCCATAATCAATACTATAAAAGTTCTGCTGTTAGAAAAAAATATATTTGTATTTTGACAGTAAGTGTGAGCACAGACGTCGGCGCTGAGAAGGACAGGTTAGTATTAACAAATTCCCATTATTGTGATTTATTCTTTAGCAACATCTAAACTTCCAGCCTGGTCTCATGTTTATACGTAGGTATTAATACGTAACATTTACAAGCACAAAACGTAAATTTTTGTACGTTTTTAGTCATGCTAAAACGTACAATTTAGACGTATTTCATCGTTTAAAACGTACAAATCGCTACGTATTTTTGGCTAAAAAAACGTAAAAATATTTACGTATCTTTTATATCATTTAG